ATGGCACAGTTTTATTGTCAGGTTGTGAGCATTCTTCCTATTTTCTACACAGACATTTTTCAAATATTTCCCCCAAGCTCATGGCTGGCATTTTTGTTTTTGTAGTAATGTATTTTGGAAAAACAAAAGTTTTTAGGTTTTATGGAGTCCAAAATATCATTTTTTTCTTTTGCAGTTAATATTTTCGTGTGGCATTCAAGAAGTGTTGGCCAAACCCAAGGTTGCTGAGATTTTTTCTAGTTTCTTTCTAAGTTTTTTTTTTTTTTTTTTTGTAATTTTACCTCTTGTATTTAGGCCTCTGATATAGATGAAATTAATTTTCAGATATGGTGTGCATTAGATTTGAGTTCTACTTCAAAGTTTCTTAGACCACCACTTGAGGCACGCCCCCAGCCCTTTTGTGCTTTAGTTATTTTTCAGGTAGGGATCTTACATTTTTGCCGTGGACCAGCCTCAGAATGTGATCCTCCTATCTATAGCCTCCCATAGCTGGAATGACAGTCCATGCACCATTCCCAGATTATTGATTGAGGTAAGGTCTCACTGACTTTTGCCTGGGTTGGCCTCAAACCTCAGTCTTCCCAGTGTCTGTCTTCCAAGTAGCTAGGATTACAGGCGGGAGCCACTGGGGCCTGACATTTTCTTGTTCTTTTGAGATAGGGTCTTGCTATGTAAACCAGTGGCCTCAGACTCACCTCCCTCAAACTCCTCTTGCCTTTTGCCTCCCAAGTGCTGAGATTACAGTTGTGTACCATCATATCTGGCTTGCACTCTTTTTTTTTAGTTTGTTAATAATTTAGTTTGTTAACCTTAACTTTCAAATATTAAACCAACTTTGTATTCTTAGAATAAAGTCCACTGAGTCATGTTGCCCTTTTTAGTATGTTATTAAATTCAACTTATATTTGTTAAGAGTTTTTGTGCCTCAGGCTGGGGAACTAGATCAGTAGTAGAATGCTTGCTTAGCATGAGTGAGGCCATGCTAAGTTTTCTTAGAATATTTTTTTCTGGTTTTTGGTATAAGGGAAATGCTGGCCTCATGGAATGAGCTGAGAAGTGTTAACTCTTTTTTAACTTTCTGAAAGAATTTGCACAAAATTGTTATTATTCCTTCCTTCCTCCCTCTTTCCCTCCCTTCCTTCTCCTTCCTTCCTCCCTTCCTCCTTCCTTCCTTCCTTCCTTCCTTCTGAAACAGGGACTCCCTATGTATCCCAGATTGGACTTGAACTCACAATCCTCCTGCCTTAGGCTCCTAAGCATTGGGATCGCAGGTGTGCTTCTCCATTTCTGGCTCAAGAATTACTATTATTTCTTGCTTAAACATTTGGCAGAATTCACCACTGGGCCTGGAATTTTCTCTGTGAGAAGGTTTATTTATTTATTTTTCTTGGTGGAACTGGGAGCTTTGTGCTCACGAAGCAGGAATGCTACCACTTGAGCCTCACCTGCAGTGCATTTTGCTCTGGTTATTTTGGAGATGGGGTCTTGAGAACTATTTGCTCAGGTTAGCCTTGAACTGAAATCCTCCTGATTCTCAGCCTCTCAAGTAGCTAGGATTACAGATGAGCCATGGGATCCTGGCTCGTTACTTTAACAGATTCAGAGTCATAAGGTGATGTATTTCTTTGTGAGTGAGATGATAGTGTATTCTTCAAGAAATTTGTTAGTTTCACTGGAGTCATCAAATTTATTGGTAAAATAGTCCTCAGCATTTTCCCTTACTGCTATTTTAATGTCCGTAGGACTTGCAGTGACATTTCCTTTCTTGTTGCCTATATTGGTAATCTGTGGGTTTTTTTCATAATCTGTGTGGCTCAAGGTTTATAATTTTATTGATCTCAAAGAATCAACTTTAGGTTTCATTTGCTCCCCCCCCATTTCTTTGATTTCTCCTATTCATTATTTCTCTTCTTTTGCTTACTTTAAGTTAAATTAGCTCTTATTTTTCTTTTTCTAATTTCTCAGGATGGAAGCTTGATTTGAGACTTTCTTATTTTCTAACATAGACAATGATATGAATTTCTCTCTAATCCTTCTTAAGTTTCGCCTCTCTTTTTCTCTTTTCTCTCTCTGTCTCTGAGACAGGGTCTCACCATGTAGCCCAGGTTGGCCTCAAACATGCCTCCTGAGTGCTGGGATTACAGGTATATACCACCACTCCTGGCTCATCTCACAAATTTTTACATTTTCACTCAGTTCAAAATATGTTCTAATTTCCTTTGTGATTTCCCCTTTGACTCATGGGTTATTTAGAAGTGTGTTATAAAGTTTGAAGTTTTCTAAGAATCTTTTTGCTATCAATCTCACCTTAAAATATATTTTTATTACTGCATAGTAAGTTGTACAAAGCAAGGCGCTTCGTTTTGGCACTTCCATGTGTGCACAGAGTCCTCTTTGACCCTTTATTACTCTTTCTCATCCTCTTCCTCCCCTTCTCCCTCCCTAACAGCTCCCCCACAGCATCCACAAAATTTATTACTGATTTTTCATTTAATTCTGTGATGCTCAAAAACACTCCCTTGTGCTGTGAGTCAGTAGAACTTTGCTGTGTGTGAAGCAAGGCTGGGGCCCACAGGGGCTGAGCAGGCCTGGGCCCCATGGGCGGGGATGGCGCGGGGTTTGTCCCTTGTCATGAGTCACTGGAGGGTTTGAAGCAGAGCGAGGATTAGAACTGAATTAGGTCTCCAAACAAGCAAGCGGCTGTTGTGTGGAGGGCAGTGTGACGGCAGGAACCCCTTTGGGTACCAGACATGAGAGTGGAATGACCAAGGGGACACACAGCAAAGGAGAAGTAGATGGATTTGGGAGTCACGAGGTGGGGGAGGAGGATGGGTTGGCCTGGAGTGCATTGCATGAGAGAGAGGCCCCCTCCTACTGATGGGACCAAGCACAGTCCCCTCGTGGGGACTCCCTGATGGGGTTCATTTCCCAGCCCACCTACGGACAAACCTGTCACATCCTCCCTGGGAGCCAGGAGTCACCTTGACACCACAGAGCCTGCACCCCACAGCCCCTGGCTGAACACAGACCTCATGTGGCCCTGTGTGGTGGCAGTGCTGTCCTCCTGGCCTGTGAATGTGACTAATAAACTGTCATCAGACTCATCTGCCCAGCGCTGAGGTCATGTGCCTGGCTGTCCTCAGAACCACAGCAATGGGTAAGCAGCAGACGATTAGAACAGTCCCTTTCTTGGGGTGGATGGCAAGTCACCCAAATGGCAGGTGACAGGGACAAGGCAGCCTGGGCTGGATCGCAGACCCCCTCACTCCTCCTCAGCTGGGTGCTTTGGGCAGGGTTCACGATGCAGCCTGGACCGGCTCCCCACCCAGGAGGTGGGCTCAAGGTCACTCCTGTTTCACAGAGAAGGGCTCTGTGCGTGTCGGGGTGAGATTGGAACCCGGTGTCCGGTTAGGGAGGGAGATGTGAATGCAGCAGGGAAGGGAGGAGACCCATCTTGTGCAGGCGACTGGACTGGGTGTGGCCATCCCTGCAGGGCTGGTGCAGGACAGAAAGCATGACCAGGGAGAGCAGAACAGGGCCAAGTGGCAAGAATGACCTCCGGTCACAATGGATGCCGGGCTATCCATTCGGTGCACTGCCCGGTCTTGCCCACCACCCACTTCTGCTCTCAGATTGAACAGGTGGCTTCTTCTCTGGAGGTCTTTGGCCCAAGGGATCCTGGCAGGCAGAAGTTCTAGAGCCATGTGCTCTCTGTAATGACCGTCTGTCGCTGGTTGTCCCTGTCTGTCGTGGATCTAGAATAATCCAAAGAGATAGCAGTGACACATGGCAAAGTGGCTGGCACTAGGAGCCTGGTCTTGTAGTGTAAGTGCTATGATTTTAGGGTTTTACCCCACCCCATAGTCCCCAAACCTAGGACAGTGTCCGAAACATAGAAGATAAGTGACAAAAGTGAGTGGAATGGCAGAATAAATTAGGTCACAGCTTCCCTGCCTCTCAACGCGGTGTCCTTATGCAAGTTACAAAGCCTTTCAGTATTGCAATTCCCTCGACAGTGAAATTATTCAATAATAGCCCTTTGTGGAGTTATTGTATTGCTCTGATAAGAAGGCATATTAAGCAGTAATGTGATCACTGTACTCTGGTAGGCTAAGGCAGAAGGATCAAAAATTCCATGTCAGCCTGGGCTACATAGCGAGACCCTGTCTCAAAAATTAAAAAAAATTGTATGTATATATTATATATCTATATATTTAATATATATATTAAAACAATGGACTGGCTCAAGCGGTAAGCACTTGTCTAGCAATTGTGGGGCCCTGAGCTCAATACCCAGTTACAGGGGGTGGGGAGGACTCACTGTATCAACTGTTGTCACTACTGTAATCATGACCTTGGTCCCAAGCCAGAACACACTCACCCAGGATGCATTGTTGTGAGTCAGACATTGGTCCAAGTGCCTTAATATAATTGTTCACTTAAGCCTGAAACCACTCTGTGGGTGAGGCTGGGAGGGTTGTGTTTTAAAATTTTGATGCCCATCTTACAGATGAGGGCATGGAAGCAAGTGGAAGAGATTCTGTCTACACAGTGGAGTTGGGGTTGATTCCCTCCATCCTGTTCTCTCAGGACCTGTCCCCAGAGGCTTTGACAGAACTCACCCTGTCATCCTCCTGGGCTGAGGTTCATGGGAATGCTGAGCTAGGACAGTGGAGACTGTCTATCTCTTCGGGTGTCAGTTTTGGTGAGAGAAGTCATGTAACTTGCCCCAGCAGTGGCCCAGCTTCATTTCCTGCCTAAGGTAAAGGCACCTTCTACCTGGGAGGCCCTGGGGCAGTCACTTCCAGCCTCCATGCCTCAGTTTCCCCCCTGCAGATGGAATGGTAATGGTACCTTCCTGGCAGGGTGGTTGTATAGATAAAGTGGTTTCAGGAACTCCAGCCTTGCTACCTTCTGTGCCTCTGCCCCACTGTACTGGGCCCGGTTCTATCTTGGCCCCAAAGGAAGCCCAATCCCGCCCCAGACTGGCCACGGGTCACTCACTGGTTCTTCAGATCCTGGATAGTGTCAGGCAGTGGAAGTCCCTGAGTTTCTGGGAGGAAGAGCAGGAGAACCAGGCCGGCGGCAATGGGGACAGCACCATAGGAGAGTGGTGGCAGCAGGGGCAGAGACTGCTGGGTAATCCTGAGCAGGGGGCCCACAAGAGCCCCTAGGCGGCCTACCGACTGCAGGAAACCATCTGCTGTCATCCTGTGGTGAGGTATGGAGGCCCAGACCCACATCACAGCTGCCACTGTGGCAGGAGGATGGTTTGGTTGGGCCCAAAGATGGAAGGGAAGGGAAAGCTGAGGCGTTGCCTCCTCTAGGCCTCCAAAACCACCCCCCTCCTCCATGGGGCCCACCTAGATTTTCCCATTGGTTTTCAAGGGAACTCTTAGGGCCTGCCATATTCTCCCTGTCTCTAGCTAACTGGGGGTAGCCTCAGTGCTCCTGGTAGACCACCAGACTTCCAGCTCTGGGTATCTGTATGATAGCAACAAAACAAACAAATGTCTAAAAAATGTGAATGAAAGAATGGAGAAATGAGCAAAAGAGGGAGTATCATAAAGTGGTAGAAAGGCTGGATGAAAGTCTGGAAGCTGGACCCAGTCCCACCCTCTGATGTCAGTCCTTCACCTCAAGCCTCAGTTTACCCAAATGTTAATGGTGGGGTGCTACATGGGTTCTGAGGACGGGACTACTGCTACCAGGGTTGCTCTGGATCTTTATATCATGGTTTTTTTTTTTTTTTTTTTTAAGATTTCAGCCCAATGAAAAGAACTTCAAAACCAAGTCTGAAAAGCCAAGTGTGGTGGTACATGCCTGTAATCCCAGCACTCAGGAGGCTGAAACAGGAGGATTTTTAGAGTTCAAGGCAACCTAGGCTACATAGCAAAACTGTCTTAAAAAATACACCAAAACAAAACACCCAGTCCTGATGTCTTTGAGGCTTCTGGAGGTCTTGAACAGCCTTGGCCTCAGATCCCTGCACCTGCCCTGTCCACCCTCCTGGTGTGCCCCTGCCTATCTCCCGAGGCTGGCACACCTACCGCAATGGAGTCGGGAAGAGCTCCGCCCTGTACACGGTGAGGCAGGTCAAGCTGACTCCAAAACAGCCTTTCCCCAGCACGGCCAGCGCCACACGCAGGGTCTGCAGATCTGGGCACAGACGGGTGAGAGTGGGGTCTGCCGAGAGGCACCCAGGGGGCAGATGGCTTCTCAAGGGTTGGGGGATACTAGGTTCTCTCACCAGTCCCAGGCAGGGCTGACCCGGTCCCAGGCCAGGAGGGAACATGGTGCAGAGTGAGATGGCCTGGTGTGAGTCTGGGGGCAGCAATTTTGTCCTCAGTTTCTCCTTTGCCATGAAGGGGAGGTCATGACATGCCAGGCCCACAGCAGGGCTGTGGAGTGCCCAGGCGCGGTGACCTTCTCACAGCCCCTTGTCCTGCCTCTGGGGACCATGGGGAGGTGGCAGGAGCCCCGGCAAGGAAGCTGAGCTGGGGTTACTGTCCACCATGAGCCTGGGTCTTGGTTTCCTCTTTCTAAACTGTCATGAAATGTCTGACGGGGTTGGACACATAGACGTGCGTGCGTGCCCGTGCACACACACACGCTCACACGTGGTCATGTGTGTGTCGTGTCACAGTGTCACGGAAAGCCTTTGCCTCTGAGGATGTTCTCACAGTTTGGGCTCCTGCTGTGGCCTGGGGCAGGTGAGGAGCTGCACACCCTCCCCCTGGGGGCATCCTTCTGTCTTTCTCCTGGCTCTGCAGCCACTGCAGGACACATGCTCCCATCAGCCACCCCAGTCTCTGGCTTTGAGTGATGAAGATGTCATTGAGAGGGTTTCAGGGTGCTACTGGCTCATTGAGAGGGGCGGGGGCGGGGCGGGGGTGGGCGTGTAGGTCAGTGGCAGAGAGCTTGCTCAGCATGAGCAAGGCCCTGGGTCAGAGCCCAGCATGGCAAACAAAAAGAAAGAAGGAAAGAGGGAGGTAGGGAGGGACAGACAAAGAAAGAAAGAGAGAGGAAAAGAAAGGAAGGAAGAAAAGAAAGAAAGAGAAAGAAAGGAAGGAAGGAAATGAAGAAAAAAAGAGAAAGAAAAAGAAAGAAAGGAAGGAAGAAAGGAAGGAAGGAGGGAGGGAGGGAAGAAAGAAGAAGAAAGGAAGGAAGGAAGAAAGGAAGGAAGGAGGGAGGGAGGGAAGAAAGAAAGAAGAAAGGAAGGAAGGAAGGAAAGGAAGAAAGAAAGAAAGAGAAAAGAAAGAAAGGAAGGAAGGAAGGTAGGAAGGAAGGAAGGAAGAAAGAAAAAGAAATAAAGAAAAGACTGGGCCCTTGGAAACTCCTCAGCTCTTTGCACAGAAATGACTTGCAGTAACACATGTGCACACACTGTCTGCTTGGTGTCCCCTCTGCCTCAGTTTGAACAAGCAGCCTTCCAGGCCCTTTCTGCCCCCTCAGGTCCAAGCCCAGCTCCCACTCACAAGCCCAATGACTTGGGACCTGCTTCACTTCTCTGAACCTCGGTTTTCTCCTGGGAAAAATAGCTGGGGGGTTAGGACGAGGGACTGGTTCCCTGAGCTGAGGCAGCACAGGCTGGGATGGTCACAGACTGGGCAGAGCGCAGGCACAGTGACCACAAAAATCTAGGTTCTGGGGGCCAGGAGAGGGGAAGGAGGCCACATGGACGGTACGGAGTGGCTGGCCATGATGTTGGCCAGGCCTCCCCTGCCCAGGTGCCCTTCCTCACCTTGGGGCACGAGCACGTTGGCCAGGATGCAGAAGCCGGCCAGGGCCTGGAAGCCCGCCAGAGTCAAACGACGTCCCCAGAACCTGAGGAAGACGACGTTGGTGGCCCTGCCCACGAAGTCCACAGCTCCGAAGAGGGCCTGCAGGAGGAAGATGTCCCTGCCCAGACTCTGCAGGTCCAGGACTAGCCCATAGTAGGAGAACATCACGGAGAAGCTGTAGGCAGAGTCAGAGGCTGGGTCCCTGCTGAAGACAAGAGGGACCCCCAGCACCGCAGTGCCACCCCCCACCAAGCTGTCTGGGAGGTCACAGCCACTTTTAAAATCCGTCCCCATCACTACTTAACTGGGCCACTCATCTCAACTTTGTCAGTCAGCTGATGGCTTCACCTAGTAGGCCCCTGGCAGCCCAGGCCAGAGAGGGAACCGCAATGTGCAATGCGGCAGAACCTGCATTGTTTCGTAAACTATGCAAGTGATGCGTGATGCGAGCCTTCCATGCTAACAACTGGGTTAACAGTTGAAAGTCAACAGGACTAGCAGCTTCAAAGCGTCGGATTTGAATAACAAAGGAGGATGGGCAGCCCCGGGGACAGGAAGTCTTGAAGGGCTTTTGGTTTGAGGGTAGGATGTCTGGACGCTGGCCTCCTTCTAATCTATCAGGAAAAAAACACTAAAACTAAAACTAAAAGATCCAAAAAAGTATTTGATCCCATTCTTTTTCTTTTTCAAAGATGTAACAAATAGTTGGTATAATAACCTGTATGAGTTAATCTTTCATTTTATTTTGAGATAAAGTTCCAATCAAACCTGATTCTATTCTTAATATGTTCTCTTGCATGTCACTGCAAATAAATTTGTTTTAAGGGAATTTTGCTGGCTCCCACCATCCTTGGGTGTCAAGGCAGGACCTCCTGGGTATGGGACCTGGCAGGTGACAGCCTTGAGCAAGGATGCTGATCGGCTTGGGTTCAAACACTGGTCCCATCATCCTGGGCTAGTTAATCCTCTGGCCTTCCCATCTGTGGAGTGGAGTCTTGTAAGGGGTAAAGGGATGGCCAGGCTGCGTCACCATCCAGGGGTGCAGCTGACAAGCAGTGGGCCTCTTTAGCTGTGGTTGGTCCCCTGGTTCATCCTGACCCTGGTTTCCTGGGGGGGGGAGTCACCAGCCCAGCTGGGCCTCTGCAGCTGATCATCCTCCAGAACCTGCCTGCCAAGACTCTGGCCTCCTGAGCTCCCCTGGAGGCCTGAGGGTCCTGTATTCCTTAAACACCACCCCATGCACCCAGCCCTGTCTCTGGGTGGGGGAATAGATGACTATGTACTTCACCACCAGCATGGCACAAGTCCTGCCACAGAGCTCAGGCACACAGAACAGGTCCTTCACTGAGCCATGGGCCTTTGCAGAGGCCATCTCCTCCTCCATGCTGGCCATCACCACCTACAGGAGGAGGACACAGTGAGTGTTGGGACAATGACACTGCCTTGCCTCCAGGCCAGGGAATGGTGCCCAGAGTGATGGGAAGTCTGACTTTGGCCTCAGGACACTGTGCCCCCTGGGCTGGTGGCAGGGTAGGGCAGCAAAGTTGCTCTCTGGGCCCTGTTTCTTCCATAGGCCTGGCTCATCTGGTCTGAGCAGAGAAGGGGCCTGTGTCCCAGCTCAGAACACTGAGCTGAAGGTTACCCTTGCCAGGCACCACACAGAGCCCCTGCCATTGCTTCCTCGCTCCTCCTGGCTGGCCCGGGGCAATGCTGCTGCAGCCAAAAGCCAGCTCCTCTCCTCCCAGTACGGCCCACCAGCCTACCTGCTCCCCTGCGTCCTCACCTCCCAGTACGGCCCACCAGCCTACCTGCTCCCCTGCGTCCTGCCTGCCCTGTGTTCAGCTATCTCTCCAGATCTAGCTTGCCTTCTCCAGGGAGCCTTCCCCAGTCTCCACCCCCAAGAGGCTCTGTGTCCTCTGCTGTCTGGCAGGACATCCTCTACCTGCTTCTTGAAATAGCTACCTTCGAATAAGCACACCCGTTTCCCCAAATACATGAAGCAGTCCCATGAGGTAGATGTGAGATGCGTGAGCGTTGAGGGTGTGGGGAATGGTGATAATTGTGGTATCGTTTTGGTAATGCTGGTGATGACGGTGGTGTGGTGGAGATGGAGATGATGGTGGGGATGGGGATGATGGTGGCGGAGTGGATGGAGGAGATGGAGGGGATGGGAGGGGTTGTTGGTGATGGAGGTGATGGTAAGGATGGTGGAGGTGTGGTTTGTAGCACTGCTGTCAGCAGAGTTGATGGAGGTGGTGGAAGTTGGGGGCGACAATGGTGATAACACAGATAACATATGTGTAGATGTCTTTCCGTGGGTCAAGTCCCACACTTGGCTGTGAACAGAGTCTTACCTCTGTGGTCAGTGTCTTCTTGGCTTCCTTATGGCCATTTATCTTGGCCACCTTTTTGAGTTCCCGAAGTGCTTGGTCCACTTTGCCGGTGATAATCAACCATCGCGCAGACTCTGGCAGCCACCTGATAGAGCAGTGGGGGGTTTGGTTGGGACTGTGCTCTTCTTGTGTGTTCTTGGTGCTCCCTGGGTCAGGTGGGAAGTGGTGGTGGGGAAGGAACCCTCTAGTTTGATGGCAGGTGGTCCTTTTCTATGCTGGAAAGACCCAGCTGTGAGGCTGAGAATACAGCTGGGTCCAAGTGTCTGGCCACCCTGTTCCTCCCCATGTCACCCCCAGCTGGCCTCCCTGGACACCAGGAGCTTACCTGCCAGAGCCATGTGTCCACCCAGTGGACAGGCTGCCTTGGCAGCAGTTGTCCCTAGGGGCGGCCTTCTGTATAGTGATTCTGGGGTCATTTCTGTGATAGAAAGGCTACATTGTGCTGGGTTCTCTCTCTCTCTCTCTCTCTCTCTCTCTTTCTCTCTCTGTCTCTGTCTCTGTCTCACTCTCTCTCTTTCTTAAGGCACATTTACAACACCCTTAGGCAGAGCTGAGTGTCTGTAAAGCCAGCCTGCTTTGTCCCAACATTAGGGAGAATCAGTTCGCTGGTGAAATGCACAGGGGCTCACCCTGTTTGGGAGCTGAGCATCTCTGGAGGCCTTGGACACAGTGGTTAGAAGTCCTGCCTCTGGCACTCACCAGCTGAGTGACTGTGGGCAAGTGACGTGGGCCTCAGTCCCTTATCTGAAATCAGTGGTATTAGCATATCTTCCTGACCAGAAAATGTGTTGATTTGCCTCTGGTGGACCTGCATGACCAGGGTGGCCTAACACGTGTGAGCCTGTGAGATAGGCTTCCTTCTGGCTTCTTGCTCCTGTTTACAGGACATATGTTCCATGCCATGAGTGGCCTTTTGTCTATCTTTGGTTACTGGTGTATCTCCAATGCCATGTCTGGCATGGGGTAAGATCTCAGGAGATATTTGAAATTGAACAAATGAGACCCTGTCATTCTCTATATAGGCTTATCCAGGCCCTGCTCTGCTTGGCTCCAGCTCCCGGGCACAAGAAAACTTAAGGTGACATTAATTTGTATTTCTTTCTCTGTGTCCTTTCCTCCGATCCATGCAGGTACTTCTAGACCTTAGGGACTTTTCGCAGGACCCCAAATCATAGTGACAATGAATATGTTCATATCCAATGTCAGTCCTTACAGACTTGGATGGCAAGTCTGAAGGAGTGAAACTGGTGGGTAGGGACAGTGCCAGTGTGACAGGACAGGGGACAGAGGCTGCTGCTCTGCTGTGGCTGGACCGTAGCTCTGGACCTTTCCATTTTTCAGGAATAGGTAAAAGCATCTTTTGCCTTTAAATATCTCCTGATTTTTAAATGTTGGCGTCTAGTTACTTTTATTTTTACGTCTCTACTTGAGCCGATACCATGTCAGCCAATGGCTACCTATCCAGGCCGGATGGGAGCCCCAGGCCTCTGGCTGAAACACCCATCCGAGAACTCGGAATGATGAATGTCCTTGCCTTCCTGTGGCTTACCACGTGTTGGGACAGTGTATTTGTCGGTCAAGGGGAGGAAGGGACACACCTCCAACCCAGGTCTCCCATGGGAAGAGGTCCCACACCACACTGACCACGATATGAGGGAGATAGCCAGGAGGGGCACAGACACCACCAGCTGGAGGTCTCGCCAGTCCCGCAGGGCGAAGGCCAGGCCGGCCAGGGCCATCTGGCCCGTGCTGTAGGTACAGCCCAGTATTGTTAATGCAACAGCCCTCCTGTGGGTTGTGGTCCACTCGGCCACTGCAAGACGAAGAAGGACACAGAGGTACAGGTGAGGGCCTGGCACCTCCTGCCACCCCAGGGCAGGAGCTGGAACATGGGACTCACTCAGTGTCCCCTGAGTCATGATGATGCCGGCCAGCCCAAACGCACTCAGGAACCGGAGACCACAGTAGATGAGGAAATTCGGGGCAAAGATGGCGCCTGTGCTGGACACAGCCATCTGTAGGCAACACCAGCTCAGCATTGGCTTCCGCCCGATCCTGTGGAGGAGATGAACATAAGGGGTCTGGGGAAGGTCTTAGGGACAAATGTCAGGTGCTTGGAAGGTGCAGAGAGACTCACAGAGGCAGCTTCTCCTTCTTGGAACTTCTAGAAGCTTCTCTGAGGTTCTAGGAGTACACATGGAATGCGTTTGTTATCCAAAGAGTGGTACCTTGTTCTCAGGGTCAGCGCAGCCTTGTAGTCAAGAACTCAGGCTACGGCATCCAGCACTTGGGTTCCAGTCCAGCTCTGCCCCGCCTGAGTAGCCGTGGGCATGTGACACTGTTCATGATGACATGCCTCCTGGGATCTCAGTTTGTGAAAACTAAACTGAGCAAGGTGACAGTGAAGCAAGGAAGCCAAGTATGTGTGACCTTGGGCAAGCTAGCCTCGCGGAGCCCTCAGCTTGACACCTATGCTCACTGTGCCATTCTGGCCCCCTGTCCCCTTAGCCCCAAAGGCTGACTGAATTTAGTGCCACTCAAGTGCATACTGGGCAGAGTGGAGGAGGGACACCACAGGGCCTGGTGTGTCAGCACAACAGCCAGGAGTGAGGGTCCCTGACTCAGGCCTCGGGTGAGTGAGATCCAGAGTCTGATGAGACCCCAGGCTCACCAGGTGACTCCCTGACCAACTGAGATTTGGCGTCTGCATTGACAGCCGCCAGCCTGTACTGGTGTGATCCATACTCAGCAGCTGCTCAGTTCCCTAAAAGTGCAAACTGGACCATGTCCCTGTCGCCCAGGTTCCCTGCCACGCTCAGGAAGACATAATGATGGTAACAGTAACTGTGCCAGGTTCCAGTTCCGAGCTGTATGTGGATTAACTCGCTTCATCCTCTCAATAACTACATGTGAGGTGCTGAATCTCCCTTGACCAGGGAAAACTGAGGCACAGAGAAGTGAAGAAACCCGTCTCCTGGGACCAGGCTGGGCTTTAGACCCAGGTGGTCAGTCCCTGGAGTCTGCATAGCCTATGAATGTTGGGAAGCTGTTCTTGTCTTCATGGAATAATGACCGGGTGTCACCAAGTCCCTGTGTTCTCACAGATATCCAGACAATATTCAAGCAGCAGATGGGCGAGTTGGTACTGTCTGAGCTCAGCACTCTGATGTAGGGAGCAGGCGTGGCCCAGAAGGACCTTCAGACGGGGTGCATCAGGCTGAGGCCTGTGTGCTGGGCATCAGGCAGCCGTGGCAGGACCCCCAGGCAGAGCAGATCACCACAGAGCCCTGAGGCCAGGAGGTCCAAGAGGAGGCTGGTGTGGCTAGAGACAGCAGGCAGGGACTGTCCTCAGTGCCTTGGGGCTCTGGGGTGCTTCAGGTTGGACATAAACCAGACCCACCTCCAAGTTTGGGCAAAGTCCCTCTGAGCACTGCAGCCAGGCTGTCCAGCTGGGAGATGGGGGTTGGGTGAGCAGAGGGGACAGGCAGGTGTGTCTTGGAAGAAAAGCCAAGGGTGAGGGAAGGAGATGAGAGGGTGTCATAGTCAGGGACAGCTTTCTGCTGGACTCTGGCTAGGGTGGGCCATGGCAGGAGTCAGTAGCTCAGCCTAGGCCTCATAGGTGAACTGCTCCTAAACCTCTGGATGGAGATGCCAGCTGGCAGGTGGGTTTGCTGTGTGTGTGTGTGTGTGTGTGTGTGTGTGTGTGTGTGTCTGTGTGTGATAACTTCCAGGTCATCAGCCTGGGCAGTGAAGCCTCACACAGAAAGAGGCAGGAGGAGAATGTGGAAAGTCTGGACTGAGTCCTGGCTCTCCGTCTGGAGTGGAGATGAGGGGATGAGAAACGGAGATGGAGCAGGGAAGGCTGAGCTCCCTGGAAGGTAAAGCAGGAGTGTGAATGTTCTAGAAGCCAAGAGAAGGAAGGATGTCAAAGAGAGCTTTTCCCAGCTGCAGATCTCAGCTGAGTGTAAATATGACCCTGTCAGAGAAGTTTCTAGGGCTGGCCTGCCCTTTCCCTACCCCATCTCCAGCTAGCCCTTCACATGGTCTATGCTCCTTGCAGCCAGCATCACTTTCTGCGGTACCTGTAATACCGATCAGTGTTCTGGGTGACCTGAGTCCCTTTGACTCTAAGCCCTGCCCAGGGCAGCGGGCGCTTCGGCTCCTCTACCACTGCCTCTGCGCACCCATCTCTGGTGGGAACTGGGTGTCTCCTGTCCCTGTGAAGTGCTTTGCTCTCATGAGATGTCTAGGAAAGGTCTTGGGATGGAGGCACAAGAGGGGAAGAAGAGAGGTCGGTGAGGGAGAGAGAGCAGCTATGTGGCAAAGGGGAGGATGAATGGCCACAGGCAGGAGGCCTGTGACCAGCTCACTGGAGTGTGAACTAGGGAACAGGAGGCCATGAGAATTGTCCACAGAGTTGCTGCACTTGGGGGGTAGGGAAGGGCAAATCAAGATCTGTGAGACCTAGAGCAGCCTGTCAGGGCAGAGAGTCCCTACGCAGCTACAGGGGCCAAGACTCACACACAGGGCTGGCCACAGCTCCTCTACCCAGTGGAGCCAGAACACACAGGCTCGTGTGCAGGCCTGGAGATGCCTGAGGGTGGGCAGATGGGAAGACTCCATGTCAGGGCTCTTGAGATAAGGCCTTCAGCTGAGAAAGAGGGACATGGGGCTGGCATCTTTAGAGAGATGAGAACATCTTAACCTAACCTCCAGGCCTGTGTGATACACAGATGTCCTTTGTCCTGACTGCTCATGACTCAGCCTTGGCCACACCTGATACCCTCTTGGCTTCTCCCCTCTCTTTGCCAAATATATCTCAGCCACCCTTTAGGTCTCTGCTCAGACACAGCCTCCTCCTATTCCCTCCCAGTCCCTAGGGTGGGTCCAGTCGTCCTGTCCTGCAGTTATTTCTGGTTCACAGGACACTGTGTACCTGGAGTTAATGGCAAGAAGGACCCCAAAGCCCGTCGGCTCCCAGAGAGCAGGGTCTGTGCAGTGCCTGGCATACAGGAGGCGCTCAGTAAGGCTTGGTGCAATGACTGAAGCTCCATCTGTCACAGTGCAGGCTGCCTCCACACTGAGGTTCAGACATGAGTGTTGCCTGGGGCTGGGGGACATGCATGGCAGACCTGGGAGGCCACTGTCTTCTGGAACACTGATGCTCAGCAACACCCCTATGCCTTCGGCCCCACAAGCTGCCATTGTGTCTGGAGGCATCTGGGAGGGGAGGAGACACTCACCGGTAGGAGAGGAGGCCCCAGATGAAGGCTCCTGCTAGGATCCCTGCCATGAAGATGGACTGTCCCATGGGCTTCAGTCTCTGGGAGCTGCACACCAGGTCCCACTGGAACAGGAGGCATGACAGCTTGGGAGATGAGTTATGGTAGGGATGGGGTGACCAAGGGAGGACTAGGTTGAGAGCCCAGCCCCTCACCATGGGGTCCTTAGGTTCCCAGTGGCAGCCACAGGGGAAAGGGTCTGCTGTGGTTGAAGCCCAGCACCCAGCAGTTTCTCTCTTTTTTTTCTTTTAAGTAACAATCATAGTAAAGTTTGTTAGGACAGTAAACTTCCTTTTTTTTTGGTGGGACTGGGATTTGAACTCAGGGCTTCATGCTTGCAAAGCAGATGTCACATCTCCAATCCTTGCTCTAGTTATTTTGGAGATGGGGTCTTCTGAACTATTTGCCTCGGCTGACCTCAAACCATCATCTTCCTGATCTCAGCCTCCCAAGTAGCTAGGATTACAGGTGTGAGCCACCGGCACCTGGCTAGGAGTACACTTTGAATAGACTGAAAGCCAGTCATGTCTAGGGCGAGAAAGAGACGACCACCACCTGCACTGATTAAATAGGAGCCACCCAACATGGCCATGTGAGGTGGTGACTAGAGGACAAGAATTTGGGACAGTGCCTGCCACCTAAAAGGTGCTGGGTGAGGACTTGCTGTGCCCACATTACTGCTCTAAAGTGGACACACCCCACGGCCTCCTTGTCCATCCTGTAAACCCAACTTGGGCTACCATAAGCAGCCGGAAATGCACAAGTGATAAAAATTCTTCACTTGGCCAAGTTTCTAGATCCATCTGTGTACTTCCTATGCAATCTAACAAAAACCCTGTATGTCAGTCCATCAAGAACCAGCAAGAACGTCCTACCCTCTAGATCTATGTCTGACCTTCCTGTTGCCAGCCTCCTCTGCTTTGTGGCTACAAATTGCCTATTTACCCTCAAAGCCGAGCCCATTCTCTGCCTCCCACTATAAGGTCCCATTGCAGGGGTCCCTGTACTTCCCACACTACCTCAAGCATCGTTGGATAATTCTTTGTTTAACTCAAGGGAATAGTACGTCATTTGTCAGCGGGTGGGTGGCTGTCATGCAAGGCTGGCCAGGAGGTGAGCTGTGTGGGCCAGCGTGGGGACCCTTACCGTGGTCACAACTGTGGAGGTGAATGTGCTGTGGTCATAGACCCAGCCGTCCATGCACGGCTCCGTGGCAGCCTCGCTCCAGTTGGCGGCTGTGGCGTTGGGGTCCAGGAGCTGCCATTGTGGTTCCTGGAAGCGGAGGCAGTGGTGGGGCTGCTGGTTGGGGCCGGGAGGAATGGACACGGCCAGGAAGGCTTCATGGGTAAGATTTGTGAGGACCTGGGAGCCATTGTCCAATATGTGGACCCAGCAGCGGTGGCCAGGGATAGCGGCTGAGAAGTTCTCCAGAAGCAGGTGACAAGGTGTCAAGACAGCTGGGAGAAGCAGGGTGAAGACCTGCAGGACCTGGAAGCGGCCTACGCCCCCTGCTCGCTCCAAGAGCTCCTCGAACGCCATGGACAGCGCTGGCCCTGGTGGTCAGTAGGCAGGTTAGTGTAAATCTGTTGCTTGGTTCCAATCCCAAGCCACCAAGACCCGTACTGCTCGCCCTGCCAGTGGCAGCTGTCCTGTGAACAGGTGAGTCAGTTCCCAGATGCTCTGGGATGCTATAAGGAAATTTGTCCTTGTCCTGTATCCAGGAGTAACCACTGGGATGTTCCAACACTCTACAGTGGGGACATTAAGGAGAGCACTCACTGTGCCCTAATACTTGGGACATCTGAGCTGCCATCAAGTCATACTGGACAGGGCTAAGCCACCTTCTGGCTTCTCCCGCATTAAAAGGGTAAAGTCGAGCAGATTTAAAAAAAAAAAAAATCAGAAGCAAACCGGTGTTGTTACTGAGTTACATGGTGGAGGAAATAATGCCTGGTTAAAGTTTAACCTCAGTAGATTCCGGGCTAAGCGTGAGGCGCTGGGCACACAGCGCCCACCAGCTGGCCCCTCTCGCTCTTGAGTCTTGACTTTCAAATCTTCTTCATGGGTCCTGTGCAGTCAGGATGCCTATGGCCTAAGCCAAACCCACCATGAAAATCAGTTCAATGGCTGAAGCCTCATGTGGCCTGGGAAGGGCCTTTCTCTATGAGGGCTGACCCAGACCTTGGCGAGTCTTCCTCCATGGGCGCTTCTACCAGGCGGCCTGGGGAGACCAGCTCGCAGACCCGCTATTTCAGGAAGCTTCTGTTCTGAGTTTTCGGATTGCATTCTTAGACTGGAAGCTCCCCCGACCATTTCCTGACATCTCTGGGCTGGAATGGAAGTGCACAAAGTCACACCTCTCTGACCCATCATCCAAGGCCAGCCCAATTTCCATGGTCCTTGAAGAGGGGCAAAGCCAGCCATACCCTTGTGCCTCTTAGTGACAGCTGCTCCTGGCACTAAGGGCTGGTTCTGTGCCTTCATTTGCTCCTCATAGCAGCCTAGAAGAGAAATGATGTTAACTTCCTCAAACAAGGAAACAGGCTCAGAGAGGGCAGGCAACTTGCCCAAGGTCACATAGCAAAGCATAAATTCAAACCAGATACTAAAGTGGAGCTCTCTCCAATGTCCCTGGGCAGCTGCTGAGTGACATCCAGCTTGTCATGGAGCAAATCCCAGTTAAAGCTGGAATATAGGATTTGGGTCAGAATTAGGCCAGCCTCAAGTCACCTCCCAGGGTGTGAAAGGGAAGAAGCTTGAGTCAGTTTGTGGAGAGAAGTCTGAGAAGTGTGGGGAGCATGGGTGAGATGTGGATGGGTATCTGGACACTCAACTTCCCAGAATCTCCCCCAGAGGGCTTGGAGAACTCAGTCAAGATGGCTACTAGCCAGGAAGCCAGGCAGCCAAGATTCTCGGCTGGGTTTCAAAGCCGGGGCTTCTTCCTTACTCTACCTCTCTGAGTAGGAAGTCATTGTGAATTTTCTAGCAGATACAGAGAGATGGGGAGAACCAAGCCAAAGTACAGCACAGGAGGTCACGGTAGAGAGTTGCTAACTGGCACAGCCATGGTATACACAGCCCAAAGGCCGGCAAAGATCTGTGCTTTGCTCCTGTGCTGCCTGGACACAACCTTGCACAGTGGGCCCCTCCCTGGCACCCGATTTCTAGTCCGTAAAATGAAGTGAGCTCTGTTGCTGTTGGTGAAACTTAGTGTGGATCAGAAGTCACAGGCAGTTCTGAAGTGCACAGGGCCAGGCTGCACTGGGCCTAGGGATTCATCTTTAGAATAAGCCCCGGGTGGGGGACAGGCTGTTGCTCTGGTACTTAGGGCCTCACTTTCATAGTCTCTGGGCTCCCAGAGACTGAAATCTGAGGCTATCTGGGGAGGAATTCACTTCTCTTCCTCCGTCCGTCCTTCTTCCATATGCTTTTACAATTTGTTTCTTCTCTGCCCTTTGCCTGTCATGGACACCCCTAGGCTTTGCTTACAGCAGAAGGTCAATCCTCCCGGATTTGCCAGAAGGCTCCCGGAATCTCCAACTGACTTTCTGCTTCCAGGCCAAGGCATTTTTTAATTTGTATTTTCTGTTTTTCTGGGACTGCTGGGGGCTGGGCTCGGTGCGGCTGCTCTGCCACCTGGTGGTCACACCTAGGACAGTAGCACTTTCCAGAACCAGGCTCAGCCTTGCCCAGGTGCCCATCCCCCAAGGACACCTAAGGGAGGAGGGAGAGAAGCTTTGGGGGGAAATGCAGGCCATCTCAGATTATAGTCTGTAAGCCCTCCAGGGTATCTCATTAAATTAATTTGTGCGAGGCCGTCCCCTGCTACTCAGAACCCGAATGGCCATTGGGGTTGACTTTCCCAGTGAAGGTCTCCATGGAGTCAACAAAATCCAGGCTGGCTGCCAAATAACCTTAGGCCGTGCACTTCTCCTCTAAGATTGGGTTTTCCATTTAAATAGTAAAATGAAATGAGACAGTGAGCAAATAGGACTAGCAATAGATATTAGCCACCATCCACCCCACCTCCATCATCCCCACCACCACCATCCCCACCACCATCAACCCCACCCCACCATCCCCACCACCATCCACCCCACCACCATCAACCCCACCTCCATCATCCCCACCACCACCATCCCCACCACCATCAACCCCACCCCACCATCCCCACCACCATCCACCCCACCTCCATCATCCCCACCACCATCCACCCCACCACCATCCACCCCACCTCCATCATCCCCACCACCATCCACCCCACCACCACCATCCCCACCACCACCATCCCCACCACCACCATCCCCACCACCATCCACCCCACCTCCATCATCCCCACCACCATCCACCCCACCACCACCATCCCCACCACCATCAACCCCACCCCACCATCCCCACCACCATCCACCCCACCACCATCAACCCCACCACCACCATCCCCACCACCACCATCCCCACCACCATCCACCCCACCTCCACCATCCCCACCTCCATCATCCCCACCACCATTATCCCCACCTCCATCATCCCACCACCATCCACCCCACTTCCATCATCCCCACCACCATCCACCCCACCACCATCCACCCCACCACCACCATCCCCACCACCATCCACCCCACCTCCATCATCCCCACCACCACCATCCCCACCACCATCCACCCCACCTCCATCATCCCCACCACCATCCACCCCACCACCATCCACCCCACCTCCATCATCCCCACCTCCATCAATCCCACCACCACCATCCCCACCACCATCAATCCCACCACCACCATCCCCACCACCATCAACCCCACCACCATCCCCACCACCATCAACCCCAACGCCATCCACCCCACCATCACCATCCCTCCCACCACCACCATCCCCACCACCATCAACCCCACCACCATCCCCACCATCACCATCCTCATCACCATCCCCAGCATCATCCCACCACCATCATTCCCCACCTTCATCCCACCATCATCTCCATCACCATGACCACCATCATTGTTACTGTGATTAGCATCAGCATCATCGCCACCATCACCATCTTCATCATCACTTTTATAATTTTAATGTGAAATGCTCCCCATGGGCTCAGGTGTTGAGTACCTCAGTTTACCTTCTTCAGCCTGCCTGGACCATTATCACGTAGCCTGTAGGGGTCTAGGTGGGTCGCCTTGGTCTCAAAGGAGGCTGAAGGAGAAGAAGGAGGCTGAGAACTAAGGGTTTGGGAATTTGAGACCCAAAAGTGAGTGGGACAGCAGGAGAGCTTTCAGTGAAGGAGGTCAGATTTTTAACCACGTGACCTTGTACTTGAGCTTCCTTCCCTCACATGGGCACAACCTGTCAAGGGCTCCCATGCTGGATTTGCTCTCATTCTCCAGTGTACCATTGTCAATGTGTGCCCATTGAGCTTTGACCAGATGGAGGAATCACAGTGTCACATGCTGGTGATTGAACTGCAGCTCATGGCAGAATTGGCTGGCCCTGCTTGGAGCAGTGGCCTAAGGCTGGGTTTTCCCCCAGTCTCAGCTACAAAAATTCCTCTGTCGCTTTTCACTTCCGGTCGTTTCCTTGGCTTTAGGGGAGAAGATGGCACAAGCCTCTTCTCTCAGCTCTTGAAGGCCCCTCCTGTAGCACTGGGGATTTTCTCTGCAGCAGCAACTCACAACATCTCCTCAGAGCATAGGGACTATAGGATCTGCTGGTTCCCAGCTTCCTCTGCTCCAGGCGCTGGATACCAGGCCCTCTGTTGGCTCCCTTCCTTCCCTGAGCCATGTCTTCTACAGTACCTCCTGGGGCTTGGGGGATCTGGTCTGAGGCTTTCTCTCTCTCTCTGTCTCTCTGTCTCTCTGCCAGTACTGGGTTTTGAACTCAGGGCCTTGTGCTTGCTAGACAGGAGCTGTACCACTTGAGCCGTGCCCCAGCCCTTTATCTTCCTTTGTGAGGCATGGCAGTCCCTGCAAAGGTAATGACTGGCGTGGTGACCGGTGTGGTGACCAGCATGGCCAGGTCCTCCTGGGGATAGCTGAAGAGGTTGGTGACAGTGGCTCAATGAGGCTCAGTCAAGCCTGACCCTTGAGGCAAAGGGGAAGTGATCAAACCCTCAGCTGTCTGACTCCTCCAACATGGAACTCCCCCTGGGCATCTTTGCCTATGGCTTCCCTTTGTGTGATCATCGGTGATCTGAAGACACCCCCAGGATGGAGACTCGGAGACAGCAGAGTCCCAAATGTGTCCCTGCCACTCCTCTTGCTGCAGAACAGAAGGGGTTCAGAGATAGAAAGGGCTTGTCCTGAAGATGGGGGTGGGGTGGAACAGGGACTGGATCCTAAGTGTCCCAACTCAGTGTCCCCTCAATGCTGCCTGCAGCCACCAGAGGATGACCCTGTAGTTCAGTGTAGTGGGTCACCCTGGGCCAGCTTCTGCTGGCCTGACCATATCCAGGTGTGGAGTGACTCACCATCTGCGCTTGTTCTAGAAAATGTGGAATCACAGTCTCATCACTTTCTATGATGGATTGAACAGCGCCTCCCCACTTCCAA